AAGAAGAAGAAGAAGAAGAAAAAAGAAAGAAAGAAAAGAAAGTTGTGATTTAGGGGCATGGGGCCTAGCTTTTGGAAATCACAAGGACTACACTCAGGAGCTGTCCTTCCTCCCCTGAGGGCTACTACACAGCCCCTACAGTCCTGGCACCCTATACTCACCAGGGGCCCCCTCAGACAAGGAAGGAAAGGCCCCAGTCCTGCCCCTTGTTAAAAGGATACCTTCGGGCATTTTCCACCAGGGGTCCCTGCCCAGACACTAGCATCCGCTTCTCATGGTACTGTGAGAAGAGCTTCATGGGGCTGTGAGAGAGGATAACTTGGTCTGGATCCACCTAGAGGGACGCCAAAAACAAAGAACAGCGGAAGACATTAACAGTCGAGAAAGAATAATGGGAAACAAGTAGCAAGTTATTTTACATAGAAAGGGAAGGAGGAAAATACCCGAAAAAGGGGGAAGAAACCTCTTTCCAGCACTTAGCAAACACTAAAACTTATCCAAACAAGAGTGAGAAAAACCCATCTCCTTTGGTTCTTGCCACATAAAACAAGAAAACAGAAATGCTGGCCAGGCGCAATGGTTCATGGCTGCAATCTCAGCCCTTTGGGAGGTGGAGGTGGGTGGATTCCTGAGCTCACGAGTTCAAGACCAGACTGAGCTAAAGTGAGACCCCCATCTCTAAAAGTAGCAGGGCATTGTGGCGGGTGCCTATAGTCCCCGCAATTCAGGGGACTTGCTGAGGCAAGATAATGGCTGGAGCCCAAGAATTAGAGGTTGCTGTGAGCTATGACACCAGGGCACTCTACCAAGGGTGACAAAGTGAGACTCTATCTCAAAAAAAAAAAAAAAAAAAAAAAAAGAGAACAGGGCCCAGGTCTTCTGCTTCCTGAGTGTGCACACACCCAGAGGATGAGCTCACCTGAGCACGGTGGTACATAACTCTGGCCGGTAAGTGACTGAGCACCCCAAGGAAGAGGGCTGGAGTAGTGGCTCCCAAACCTAGCTACAGAA